AAACTCCATCTCAAAAAAAAAAAAAAAAAGAAAGTGATTTACAAAGAGGATGCTGCCTTCCACGGTCACACATGTGGTCTGAATCACCCAAAGTCACTGCTTATTAACATGCACACAACCTTCTAAACTAGAAGTACATAAGAATGGAGTTATCTAGGCAGAAATATTATTGTCCAATATTTGATTTCTTGTTTTGTAATGCTCTTTAGTAAAAAAATAAATAAATATGTAAAATGAAAGTGAAATAACAATCTATAAAGGAAGAGAACATACAATCCATTTTTCTTCTCTTATAAAACTAACAGTGCTCCTAAAGGTAAAAACATATCTTTTTCTTACAGTTGAAGCAGTTCGACATATAGTATGATCTCTACTCTAAACTCTGGCAAAAATGGAATACCAATCCAGTTATCCACTGCCATATAACTTAGTGACTTAAAACAATCTTTCATTGTGCTCATGAATCTGCAATTCGGGTAGAGTTTGTTAGGAACAACTCATCTCTGCTCTACATATAAACACTACGTAAGCACCCATTAGGGCACTGTGACGGGGATCTGAAGGATTAGGATCTGCTTTTAGGACAGCTCACTCACATGGCTAGGAAGTTGATCCTGGATGTCAGCTGGGAGCTCAGCTAGGCTGAGAGTCAGGAGCTTCTCTCTTACACAGGCCACTCCTAGTTGCTTGGGCTCCTCGCATAGTAACTAGTTCCAAAAGTGATTCTCAAGAGAGAAAGTTAGAAGCGCGTGGCATTTTTACAAACTAGCCCTAAACGCGACGTGTTATTTGAACCATGCTCAACTGGTAGAGGCATTTACAAGTCTGCTCTGGTTAAGAAATTGAGACACAGACCTCATCACTAGATGGGAGGACTGTGAAGATGACGTTGTAGGTAGAACACGTGAAATGAAAGGTGTTATTGTAGACATATTTGGGATAAACAATCTGTCATACCAATAAAATGGTTGTATGTCAAAATACACCTAAGTTGACTTTTTGCTAACAGTGTTTATTGGTTTCATTAAGTAGAGTTTTCCTGTAAAAGGTAAGGAATAAAGAGATTAAAGACAGTAACCTGCCGAGCGCAGTGGCTCACGCCTACAATCCCAGCACTTTGGGAGGCCGAGGCGGGTGGATCACGAGGTCAAGAGATTAAGACCATTCTGGTCAACATGGTAAAACCCCGTCTCTACTAAAAATACAAAAAATTAGCTGGGCATGGTGGG